CAGACCGTGAAAAACATTCTAGCACATTATGTAAAGCAACATGTGGTCCAGCCACTGTGATCCCACTGCTTGGGACAGACACATTCCTCCCAGCTTGACAGGAACACGTCTGTGAAAAACTGAGACATGTGACGTAGGCCTGCTGATGGGAACTCCCTCTGACAGAATGAGAGGGTTTCTCCAGTGATTCAGATCGGTTCTCACGGGGGGCACACATCCACCTCTCCTGGTGCACAGGATCTATGCGCAGGCAGGTGAACCATCTCTGAAGGCGTCTCGTGAAGTAGGCCCAGCGGAACCACGATGTGGGCCGCTGACATTGTCCCAGGCGTTGCATGACAGGCAGACTGTCACTATGCTGCAGGGTTTGACACGGTGGAGCTGAGCTGACAGAGCTTCAGCTCTCAGCTGTGATAAACGGCTCTCATTATAGTTGAGATTAGCTCCACTTCCAGATAAACAATCATCTAGGACGGACGAATGGAAGTTTTCCCCAGTTTATAGAAACCTCAGGTTTAGCAGGTGGAGCACTAGCATTTTGGTCTGTGCGACAGCTATCTAACTGGACCAAGCTAATAAGAGCAGATTGTCGAGATAAAAATATTTCTCATTCCTGCCATGCGTAACGACTGCAGAGCCATCTCCACGCATTTTGAGAACGTGCATGGGGTGTTTCAGAATGATGGAAATGTGAAAATATGCGCTCGTCAGATCTATGGAGGTGAAAACCAGTCATTCTGGTGAAGTTCTCCAGCAGCTGTTTGTCAGCATGTGGAATTGTCTCCCCATGATCGAATTACTGAACATGAACAGGTCGAGAATGGATCTCATCCCTCCGTTTTTTTTTATCAGAACCAGGAAGTAGTGGGAGGAAAAAAAACAAACATATTTTCCTCTCCGTTGGGAACTCTGGAAATCACGTTTTTCGTCAGAAATTCCTGACCTTCTGACTGGAGAGACGAGCTCTGTTCTGGAGAAGACAGAACCGTCTCTATAATCCCTCTGAACGGTGGGGGTTGAGCTGCGAACTGCAGCGTGTAACCCCTGCTGATCAGATGGTCCGTCCATCTGTCCAGGGAACACACTCGCCACTCTGAGTAGCGCTCGGAGAGCGAGCACGCATTTGTGTTGTCATGTTTCTCATGAACGTCAACCAGACTAAAAAATCCTTACTGCCATCACTCGCTCCGGAGATTCTCCTGGGAGCCCAAGGGGGGCTCCGACAGAAAAAAGGGCTGTATGTGTGCCTCTGTGCTGGGACCAGGCTGTGGTCTCACATAGAACTGAGGTCAGCCAGCACGCACCGAGAGGAGGCGTGAGCGCTTTCTGAGTGAGACGCCATTTCAGTGGAGGCTGCAGCTGTTGTGGAGAAACACGTTTACTCCCGCTGCGCTGTGAGTGGGCAGAAAACAGCAGAGATTAAAAACGGGCTCTGGCTGAAAACGAGGGATTTTACCAGACTCGGTCTGCTGATAAAACATTTTAGCTGACGTGGCAGACGAGTGTTTTTTGATATTTACTGAACTGCGGTGCCATTTAAAACGCTGTTTAGAGGTTACTGGCTCGTTCTGTGTGGGGAATGTGTGAAGAGAGGTAGCTGAGAGATCAGCTGATCTGACAGTCTCAGATGAAAAACTTTACTTTCAGAGGTGTTTCTGTTTTATATCAAAAACATACATCATCAAAAAACACATACCTTCCCCTCAAGGATCTGTTAACTGGTGGAGAGGGCCGGCGGAGGAGCGGGGCTTGAAGTCGCTGCCGCAGCTGTGGGGCGCCTCTGGTGCTGTTGTTGGCCAAGGCAGTCCCTCCAGCGGCTGGAGGGACAGATGGACTGTGACGTCACCAGATGGTGTACAGTCTCTGAGACCTCTTTGGACCTCTGCGATTTCTCAAGGATGGTCCTAAGTTGGCCCCGAACAGCGCCTCTGGGGTGATGGGGCCCTCCAGCAGGTCTTTCTGCAGCCTCTCGGACAAGGATGGCGAGAGGCGGAGCCAAGTGGTCCTCTGGATCATGGTCATCCAGGTGGCGATGCAGGACAGGCAGGCCCTCCAGCAGGTCTTTCTGGAGCCTCTCGGACAAGGATGACGAGAGCGGAGTCAAGTGGTCCTATGGATCATGGTCATCCAGGCGGTGATGCGGGACAGGCAGATCAGAGGTGGCACATGTTTACGATGACATCAGCAGCTTTACAGAGAGAGCTCTACGAAATACGAAATAGAACTGTCAGTGCAAACAGCGCGCAGCTGTCTCCGTGTCCCCCCCCCCACAAAACTGTTTGTTTAAACTTTCATTTTTTATTATTCAATATTTTACTAACAGAATAGTCAAATAGCAACCTGTTTTTTGTGCGAATTGCTATGTCAGTCAAATGTTCAATTTTGGAATAAAGGGGTGGAAATTAAAACGGTTGTTAGTTTTTTTCCGATTCATCGATTAATCGGAAAATAATCGGCCGATGAATCGATTATTGGAATAGTCGTTAGTTACTGCCCTAATGCAAAACATGTTGCATGTTATTAGAGTTGAAAATGAAGAAAACGGGTTTAATTTTTATTTATTTATTCAACACCACAAACTGTATGTCACACAAACACTGATGAGAAAAGTGAGCACACTATTAAAAACATTAACCGAACTGTAAACTACATTTTGAACTGGACTCTGCTCTCTGTTTTCAACCTGGATACTGGTCCCACGTTGTTCATCTGACTTGTTCAGGCTGTCACTCCTTTGCTTAATGCAGCTTAAAACATTGAATGGATTGAGAAAAGAACTGACGGGAATCTTAAATAAATAGTTCATCCAACATCTCTCTCTTCGACGTCCTTCTGCGCTGCACCTGGGCCGAGATTCATTCGGAACCGGTCCGCCTGGTGGGAGGGCAGCTTTTCCTTGCAAGAAAAATAAAAACTCAGTTGTTTCGTAACCAAAGTAAACACAAGCAGATATTCAGAACGTTGATTTACCTGCTGTAAATCAGCTGCTGCTGATTATCTCGGAGTTGAAAGTCTGACATCATCGTCGACTTGGTTCTGGTCCACTCAGCGACCCGTGTGGAGCTGTAGATGAAGCGGTCCTGCTTGGCGTCAAATCTGTCGACTCTTATCCAAAATCCAGCTTAACTTGTTAAGTAGTTGTTAGCTGAGCCTTTAGCCCAGAGGAAGGTCCTTAGAGCGGTCCGAGGCAGCACACATGCGCATTAGGTGAATGTACAAAATTCACAGCGCCAACTAATGACCCGGCATAGTAACTACAGCAGATTTGGACGGACGGGGGTTGGCGGCGTCCTGCAGCTGCATGTAAACACAAAATCCGTTCATATCAACGCAGATGTTTTCCTCTAATTAACATACGAAAAAAACTACGTTTCCCCCCACCGTGTCCGTGTAAATAGGACCTTAGTGTTCTCCAGGAAATGCACTGGAGTGGCAAGGTGTGAAGTTGTCTTCTCATTAAAAACATGGAGACAAATGTCCAGTTTAGGGTGATTTATTTGCTGCGTTTATTCTGGTATTTTACACTCGACAGTAAAGCGCAAACAGAAGCTCAAGGCTGCGTCCATGTCGTGAGAGAAACTAACTCCGACCGACACACGCAGCTCTGCACTTTGTTTACGCAGAGTGGTGTGTTCACTAGCATCGGAACAGCCAGGGTGCATTCAAGAGCATAGGAACTATGAAATTCAGAAAGAAACGAGCCGTAACCAAACAGAACCGAGCTCAGTAAAAAAATTAACTACACAACGTGGGCTTTCTAACAGCTTTGTTAATAAAGGTTAATAAAGGTTAAATGAATTTACTTCATTAGAGTCAAACTTTTTAAAGAGCAGTCAGCTTTTCATTATGTTTTCTCTGTATGTGTTATGTTTAAATTTTAAGTGCACAGCTGTGTTTTTGGTTTTGTTAAGCAGGCAAAAAATTTGTTTTTTTTGTTTTTTATACATTTATTTTGTACAGGTATAGCTTTGTTAATAAAGGTGCCTGTGTGACAATTGGGACAAAGCTTTGACTCAAATACATTTTTATTACTTTATGGAAAAAAAAACTTAATTACACACATTTGAGTAGATGTAATAAATTACTTTAATTCCTGTTTAAATGCAATTCAGCCTGCCATACATGCAGTGTCTTCAGACTTTCCCAGCAAATTAAAAGTTGAAGCTTAATCATTAAATTATTATCTTTGTGTTAGATTTATTTATAAATCACATTTAAACACTGATTGTACCAATTAAATTAAATAAAAAGTAACACGCGTTCTCTATCACCGTCATTAATCAGCTAACTAACAAACAAGCAGCAGCAGCTTCAGCTACATAGAGACCGACGTTACGTTTTCTCACTTGGAAACAACAAATGTCATATATTGTAGAGACTCGCCTGCCAACACATGACGAGTTGTATCTGCTGCAGCTCCTTCATCCTCCTCGTGACTCCAACATGTTTACGTTTCATCTCCATGGTTCTCCCGTGTCATGTTGTCACTTTTCAAAGCTGCATGTTGCACATTTTTTTATCTTTGTGAAGCGCTCCCAAACTTTGGAGGACTTGGGTCGAACAGTTTTCTCCTCGTCGGTCATTTGTAAAATTTACTTATTTTCCTTTGTAAACAGCTTCTGCTCTGCTTCCGCCTCCCCCCTCGCTCTGTTCAACTCGTGCTGCAGCGTTTTTATTTTTTTTACTTTATTCAGTCAGCATTGACAATGAACTGAAGGTGAACAAAACGGCTCCGCAGCGCCGTGAAAGACGCTTAATCACACGACACAATGAATCAATAATGAAATCCGTTGCCAACGCTTTTAATCATCGATTTTTATCGATTTTATCGATTCGTTGTTGCAGCCCTAGTTATGTCCACAGGTAAATACTGCTTTAAGTACAGGGATCATAGTATTAATCCAGAAGGAAATTAATTATTTTGTTTCAGCATTAAACTGCGCTTATTTATGGTACCGAGTACCGTCAAAAAATCCTCATGGTATTCTTTCTCACCTCAGATCAACATGATGCTAGCTAACCTGTACAGGAAAGCTGGCCAGGAACGTTCTGCTGTGACGAGCTACAAGGAGGTCCTCAGACAGTGTCCCCTTGCTTTGGATGCCATAATTGGTACATAAGTTCCAGGTTCTGTTATTGACCACTTAATGTTTGACCTAAAAAAAATCACACATTTCTAAACAAGTAACAGTCACATAGACCACAGGCAGCACATGTTTGGTTTAATCATGTCCACCAGCTTGTACCAAAGTAAAATTGTTTAAATTATTTATGAGTAGTCTGTATCTTACCTGCAGTAGACAGCAGTCAGCACTACAAGTTTAAGAAGTAGGTTTGCACATTATGTTAAAATGTAATGTTTTGTCAAACTATATTTTAAATAAAGTGCCTTTAAGATCTGCATGCTCATAATAATAAAATAGGTCAGTCCAAGCAGAGTAACAGTTCATGTAGAGGTGAATAAGAACTTTGATCAAAATATGAATAATTTCTATAAATAAAGTTTAGTGACACACTTCAGGCTTAATAATTTGCTTCAGAAATACTGCTACCGCTTTTGTTTGTTCTCATTTTTCTGTGTTCTGAACGTTTTTACTGTGAAGGGGTGGGAACTAAATGGTTAGGGGATCATGCCTTCTCTTAATTTATATGCTCACATTTATGCAACACCCACTGATTCATTAGTTTTATATTTTGTATCAGACAAGAAAGACTGAATTTAGTCTAAATATGTTGTAAACTTGTCCAACATAAATTCAAAAAATACGATAAGCTCAGTTCAGACTAGACTGCCCAGCTGGATAAATGGTCTCTTTGTTTAAGCTTTGTATTATATATATATATATACAAATGTACAGTAGACAATAACCACACCTAGATTAAATAAAAACAATTAGCTTTATTTGATTGATTGATTTTTTTCCTATTGGGAATTTTAAAATGTATTTATATATTTTTTTCCCAGGCCTTCTGTCTCTGTCAGTTAAAGGAGCTGAAGTAGCATCTATGACCATGGATGTGATCCAGAGCATTCCTAACTTGGACTGGCTTTCTGTTTGGATCAAAGCCTACGCCTTCATTCATGCAGGAGACAATCAGAGAGCCATCAGCACTATTTGGTAAACAGAGTTTTAACGCTTCAAACTAAGAAACTGAATATTGTTTTAGTTCTTATTCTCACACATTGATATGCTCTTTGACCCTCACAACCTCCAAAATAAACATTAAAAACATTCTTCTCCAGCTCCCTGGAGAAGAAGTCTCTCTTGCGGGACAATGTGGATCTCTTGGTGAGCCTGGCCGATGTTTATTTCAGGGCAGGGGACACCAAAAATGCCATTCTTAAATTTGAACAAGCGCAGATGTTGGACCCATATCTCATCAGGGGTGAGTCACAGAAACAGAACTTCTTTAGGCCCATGTTTATACACTGCCTGGCCAAAAAAAGTCGCCACCTGGATTTAACTAAGCAAATATGTACGAGCCTCCAATTGGATAATTACTGTATGGGCAATTATCTTTCAGCTGGCAAGTTATTTAACCCCAACTGGTGCAATGAGTTGCTTCTCATTTCTTAAACAACCATGTGGAAAGACACATCGCGTGGTCGTGGAAAAGATGTCAGTCTGTTTGAGAAGGATCAAATCATTGGCATGCATCAAGCAGAGAAAACATCTGAGATTGCAGAAACTGCTAAAATTGGGTTAAGGACTGTCTAACGCATTTTAAAAACTGGAAGGATAGTGGTCACCAGGGCCCCACTCTGGAGCCGGTCCTGGAGGTGGGGCACGCTGGTGAGCGTCTGGTGGCCAGGCTTTTACCCATGGAGCCCGGCCGGGCTTAGCCCAAAGAGGAGATGTGGGTCCCACTTCCCATGGGCTCACCACCGTGGGAGGGGCCAAAGGGGTCGAGTGCAATGTGGGATGGGTGGTGGCCGAGGGGGGGGACCTTGGCGGTCTGATCCTTGGCTACAGAAGCTGGCTATTGGGACGTGGAATGTCACCTCTCTGGTGGGGAAGGAGCCTGAGCTGCTGTGTGAGGTTGAGAGGTTCTGGCTAGAAATAGTCGGACTCACCTTGATGCATGGCTCTGGAACCAGTTTTCTTTGAGAGGGGTTGGACACTCTTCCACTCTGGATTTGCCCTGGTGAGAGGCGCCGAGCAGGACTGGGCATACTTATTGCCCCTCTGTCTTGGTGCCTGTATGTTGGGATTTACCTCGTTGAACGAGAGGGTAGCCTCCCTCCGCCTACATGTAGGGGGACAGGTTCTGACTGTTTTTTGTGCTTATGCGCCAAATGGTAGTTCAGATTACCCACTCTTTTTGGAGTTCTTGGAGGGGTACTGGAGAGTGCGCCTCCTGGGGACTCCCTTGTTCTACTGGGGGACTTCAACGCTCATGTGGGCAATGCCAGTGAGACCTGGAGGGGTGTGGTTGGGAAGAACGGCACCCCTGATCTGAACCAGAGTGGTGGTGTTATTGGACTTCTGTGGTCGTCATGGATTGTCCATAACAAACGCCATGTTCAAGCCCAAGGGTGTCCATATGTGCTCTTGACACCAGGACACCCTAGGTCGCCGTTCAGTGATCGGCTTTGTTGTTGTCTCATTGATCTGGCCGCATTTCTTGGACACTCGGGTGAAGAGAGCGGCGGAGCTGTCCACTGACCACTACTTGGTGGTGAGTTGGATCCGATGGTGGGGGAGGATGCCAGACCTGGCAGGCCCAAATGTATTGTGAGGGTCTGCTGGGAATGTCTGGCAGAGTCTCCTGTGAGACAAAGCTTTAACTGCCACCTCCAGGAGAGCTTCTAACACGTTCCGGGAGAGGTGGGGGACATTGAGTCCGAGTGAGCCATGTTCCGTGCCTCTATTGTCAAGGTTGCTTATCGGAGCTGTGGCCGCAAGGTTGTCAGTGCCTGTTGCGGCGGTAACCCTCAAACCTGGTGGTGGACACCAGCGGTGAGGGATGCTTTCAGGCTGAAGGAGTCCTATTGGACCTTTTTGGTCTGTGGGACCCCAAAAGCAGCTGATGGGTACCGGCAGTCCAAGTGGCATGCGGCTTGGGTGGTTGCTGAGGTAAAAACTCGGTGTGTGAGAGGAGTTCGGAGAGGCTATGGAGAATGACTTCCATACGGCTTCGAGGCGAATCTCGTCCACCATCCGGCGTCTTGTAAGGAAAGCGCTACAATACCAACACTGTTTACAGTGGAGGTGGTGTGCTGTTGACCTCAGCTCGGGATGTTGTGGGTCGGTGGGCAGAGTACTTCAAAGACCTCCTCAATCTCACCTGCACGTCTTCCACTGAGGAAGCGGAGCCTGAGGACTTTGGATTGGGCTCTCCAATCTCTGGTGCTGAGGTCACTGAGGTGGTTAAAAAGCTCCTCGGTGGAAGGGCCCTGGGGGTGGATGTGATTCGCCCGGAGTTCCTTAAGCCTCTGGATGTTGAGGGATTATGTTGGCTTACACGACTCTGCAATATTGCGTGAACATCGGGGGAAGTTCCCCTGGATTGGCAGACTGGAGTGGTGGTCCCCCTATTCAAAAAGGGGGACTGTAGAGTGTGTTCCAACTACAGGGGATCACGCTCTTAAGCCTCCCATGTAAGGTCTATTCAGGGGTTCTGGAGAGGAGGATCTGTCGGATAGTCGAACCTCGGATTCAGGAGGAGCAGTGCAGTTTTTGTCCTGGTCGTAGAACACTGGACCAGCTCTACACCCTCAACAGGGTCCTGAAGGATGTGTGGGAGTTTGCCCAACCAGTCTATATGTGCTTTGTGAACTTCGAGAAGGTGTTCGACCGAGTCCCTTGGGGAACCCTATGGGAGGTACTCTGGGAGTATGGGGTACTAGGCCATTTGATAAGGGCTGTTGGGTCCCTTTATGACCGGTGTCAGACCTTGGTCCACATTGTCGGCAGTAAGTCGGTCCCATTCCCTGTGAGAGTTGGACTCCGCCAAGGTTGCCCTTTGTCATCGATTCTGTTCATAACTTATATTGTGTAGAGTCAGGGCAGCCGGCTCAGAACCCAAAAGTCCCAGGTTCGATCCCCAGTCACTGCATATCTCATGGTGTCTTTGGACAGCACACCTTATCCCCAAAATGCACCCCGGGTGCTGTCAATAGCTGCCCACTGCACCACCTGATGATGGATGGGTTAAATGCAGAAACTAATTTTGCCATTGTATGGAACATACAGTGATGATAATGTGATGACATTATTTTTATTATTATTATTATTATTATGGACATAATTTCTAGGTGCAGCCAAGTTGTTGAGGGGATCCATTTTGGTGACCTTAGGATCACATCTATGCTTTTTGCAGATGATTTGGTCCTATTGGCTCTATCAGGTCGTGATCTAAAGCTTTCGCTGGAGCAATTTGCAGCAGAGTGTGACGCGGCCGGAATGAGGATCAGTTCCTCCAAATCCGAGGCCATGGTCTTGAACCGGAAAAGGGTAGCATGCCCTCTCCTGGTCGGGGAGGAGGTTCTGCCCCAAGTGGAGAAGTTTAAGTATCTCAGGGTCTTGTTCACGAATGAGGGAAAAATGGAGCAAGAGATCGCTAGGCATGTAGGTGCGGTGTTTGCAGTGAAGTGGGCGCTGTACGAGAGAGCGCTGAGTCAAAAAGGCAAAGCTCTCAAATTACCGGTCGATCTATGTTCCTACCCTCGTCTATGGTCATGAGCTTTGGGTTGTGACCGAAGAACGAGATCTCGTATACAAGCGGTCGAAATTGGTTTTCTCCGCAGGGTATCTGGGTTCCCCCTTAGAGATGGGGTGAGAAGCTCGGTCATCCGGGAGGGACTCAGAGTAGAGCCGCTGCTTCTCCATGTTGAGAGGAGCCAGTTGGGTGGCTCGGGCATCTGGTTAGGATGCCTCCTGGACACCTCCCTGGTGAAGTGTTCCAGACATAACACCGGGAGGAGACCCAGAGGAAGACATAGGACACGCTGGAGGGACCATGTTTCTCGGCTGGCCTGGAAACGACTTGGGATTCCCCCGGAGGAGCTGGCCCAAGCAGCTGGGGAGAAAGAAGTCTTGGCCTCCCTACTTAAGTTGCTTCCCCTGCAACCCGACCCTGTGTAAGTGGAAGAAAATTGATGGATGGAAGGATAGTGGGGACCCATTGTCTTCGAGGAATAAAGCCCTCAGTATACTCCCGGGTACGTCCGTCTGCGCGGAGGTATGTGCGTACGTATGCGGAGGGTTGAGACTTTATACTTGAGCGTACACTCTGAGCGGCTGCTGAGCAGCTCCGCAGAAAATGGGCTTTTACCTTTGGGACAAATTGAGGTTGCCGATTGGTCATTTGCTGACACGCTTACTGGATTGATTGACATGTCAGAAAAAGAAAAAAAAAGAGAGCTGGCAGCCCCAGCGTGTTCTGTGTATTTTTTGTTAATAAAAAGTTGTAAAAAAATAAAATAAACAGGGAGCGCTGCTCCTGTGGCCCACGCATCAGACCAGCCCAACAGGAAATCTCCAGACCATCCAGCAGCCACGTTGGACCCGATTTTAATTTGCTCGTGAGAAATTCCTTCATTTCTCACAATGTCAGTCATGGCATCAACGGAGGAGGAAGAGATCGCTTGTCTCTTGGCAAAAACAAAAGAAAAGGCCAGATCAGGGATGAAGAAAGGGAATTTATTACATTGGTGTCACATACAAGACAGTCCTACGCCGGGCAGTTTATTGTGCTACGCCACGTACACGGTTATAAAAATTGAGCTTTGCGCAGACATGCTCTGCTGAGGTACGTGCATACCTCCGTGTTCGGATGTACGCGTGAGTATACTGGGGGCTTAAATGTGGCCGGAAAAAAATCCTGAATGATCGTGATCGGTGATCACAAACGTTTGGGGAAATCAGATAGAAGAAAAACAATAGTAGCACTCAGAGCTATGTTTAGTAGTGAAAGTAAGAGCATTTCCACACGCACAATGAGAAGGGAACTAAAGGGATTGGGACTGAACAGCTGTGTAGTCTTAAGAAAACCACTAATCAGTGAGGCTAACCGGAAAAAAAGGCTTCAATTTGCTAGGGGGCATAAAGATTGGACTCTGGAGCAATGGAAGTTCATGTGGTCTGATGAGTCCAGATTTATCCTGTTCCAGAGTGATGGGTGCATCAGGGTAAGAAGAGAGGCAGGTGAAGTGATTCACCCATCATGCCTAATGTCTAGTCATCAGTGCAAGATCTTGGTGAAAAATTAATGCAACACTGGATGGAAATGGATCTTATGACATTGCAGAAGTTTATCAAATCAATGCCACAGTGAATGCATGATGTAATCAAAGCTAAAGGCTGTCCAATGAAATATTAGTGTGACCTTTTTTTTTGTTGGCGACTTTTTTTTGGGCCAGGCACTGTATTATAGTTAATGCTGTAGATGTTTATGACTTAGCATTGTGTCATAAACTCTTGGGTATGTCTCAGATTTATCAGTTTTATTTTTGACTTATTGTTAGTGCTGTAAGAAAAAACTCCCATTAGTTTTTAAAATCATCTGCAGGAATGGATGTTTATGGATACCTAATGGCCCGTGAGGGACACCTGGAGGATGTTGAAGTCCTAGGAGGGCGATTATTTAATATCTCTGACCAACATGCTGAACCCTGGGTAATCTCTGGGTGAGTAGTTTAATTTGAACCAAAACAAAAACCCACGGTGTAGCTGTATTGTTATCCTATTAAGTTGTTGAACTCCTTCAATTTGCATGTTTCCTCAGCTGTCACAGCTTTTACAGCAAGCGTTACTCCAGGGCCCTCTACCTGGGGGCCAAGGCCATCCAGCTAAACAGCAACAGCGTGCAGGCCCTCCTCCTAAAGGGGGCAGCACTGAAAAACATGGGTCGTGTTCAGGAGGCTATCATCCATTTCAGAGAGGCCATGCGTTTGGCCCCCTGCCGACTTGACTGCTATGAAGGCATGTTGGATTACTTTAAGTCTTTGGCTGTTTTTGGTTTGCTTGCATTAACCCCAGCGTGCTTAACTTCAGGTCTGATTGACTGTTACCTGGCATCCAATGGGATTCGAGAAGCTATGGGGATGGCAAACAACATCTATAAGACTCTAGGGGCCAATGCTCAGACTCTGACCATCCTGGCCACTGTGTGCCTGGAAGACCCGGTTACTCAAGAGAAAGCCAAAACTCTGCTGGACAAAGCACTCGCCCAGAGACCGGACTACACCAAGGCTGTGGTCAAAAAGGCTGAGCTGCTCAGTACGTACAACAAATTCATTTGATCTGATTAATTATTTTCAACATGTGAAATAGTATGCAGAAAATATGAAGGGAGAGAAAATTAATAAATGTGAATATTTTTGAAGAGATGAGCAGAAATGACTCCATCTTTGCCGATTTAGTTTAATATCTGAACAGGAGTGGATTGATTGCACACTTGCATAAACCCACCTCATAATTACAAAAATAAACATTTCCAATTAAACCAAATACACATCATGTAAATCTAAAACGTCACATCCTGTTTGTTCAAACTCAACGTCATATCTGCAAATCAGAACCAAGCACCTCCGGCTTCAACTAATGCAACAATCAATCATACTCTGACCTAAACTCAGTCGTCTTCCTCTTTATGTTTCATGATGACCATTTCTTTAAGAATAGCTTTTTGTTTGAGGTTCTTTCCACTCTGCACAACGAAACACAAGAACTCTTTCTAGCGTTTCACGTTCACACATTTCCTGGTGGGTCATTTACTTTTTCCTTTAAACAGAATGTGTGCTGTTTGGAGTTTCACCACATTTTCAGATCTCAATAATTTAAGTATAAAAATATATATTATTAAAATGTGTAAATTTATAATTTAATTTAAATTTGTAATGTAAATTTGTATGATTGCTATAGCCAGCATTGCAAATGATTCAAAGTACTTTATTTTCTCTTAGAATACAAAGAGATTTTAATGTACCAGTACCTCTGTAATTATTACACAGATCTCAGCACAACAGCCTAAATAAGGCAAAGCCAGTGAACAGTAGAGTATAATATATAACTTTATAGATCTTGTAGGAAATTGTTGATGGAGTGAAGTAACAATCTAATATCTGCTTTACTCCTACACTGCAACACCTCTCCATACTTCAGAGTTCACAGCTACTCTGGACATCGGAGAAAACCTGGAAAATGACTATCATATTTTCCAGACACGGAAAACTCAGAGAAACTCTTATGGGCCTAACACAAACCCCTGCTGGATGCCACAAGCATACACAAGGAGCAACAATCACTGATCTCCACAAGCTGTTTCTTGTTACTTAAACAGCTCACAACCCAGTTTAAAACTACATCCCTGGTACCATAACAAAGCTCCTGAATGAGTTTTTGATCATCCCAACCACAAGTAGTTTTTTGTCTAATAGCGTCACAAACTGTTTAAACTCTCCTGGAAAGGAAAGAAGCTGACAGATAATATAGTTACTGGTGTGTAGGGGTTGAACGAGTATATAATTTTTAAACTCGACATTAACATAATAAAACCCGAGTAGAACTCGAGTATTTGATGACGTCATAGATCTCAAGATACATAAATAAATAAATGAATAAAACCGCAAAAAAATGTCATTATTTACAAAAAAAAAGACCAACAAAGCATTGGGAGCGTATATTATGCTCCTACCATTTATCATACTGCAAATAAGTCACAGGAAAAACTAAACTATTAGTTTTTATTATTAAACTGCAAACGTGAAGAAACGCAGCACGTCAGAAACTAAACTTAAACCGAACCTGGTTCTGGTTCGGTGGATTGAACCCGGTGTTACACCATACTCTGTGACCTGCAACAGTGCAACACCGCCCCCTACGGTCATACGGTGGTCACATAATATGACGTCACTACAAATACTTACATTTCTAACCTAGATAGATGTCCTAGCAATCGATGTGTAGATTACTCGAGTACTCTGTTAATGCCCTACTGGTGTGTGATGTTCAAAGGCTTTGCATGCAAACAGTCTGAGGCTGCTTTCTGTTTAGGTCGGGAACAGAAGTACGAAGAGGGGATTGCCCTCCTGCGCAATGCTCTGGCCAATCAAAGTGACTGCATCCTCCACAGGATGCTGGGGGATTTCCTCGTGTCTGTCAACGATTACCAAGAGGCCATGGATCAGTACAGTATAGCATTAAGGTAAAACGAAGCTTGGTCTTTGAGTCAAATCCCCCAACATGCAGTGCAGATATTAACATTTAATCTGAACTTTAGCCTGGATCCTAATGACCAGAAGTCCTTGGAAGGAATGCAGAAGATGGAGAAGGAGGAGAGCCCCACAGATGCCACGGTGGAGCTGGATGGTGATGACATGGAGGGCAGCGGCGAGGACGGAGATCTGGAAGGCAGCGACAGCGAAGCAGTTCAGTGGGCTGATCAGGAACAGTGGTTTGGTATGCAGTGACCCAGATCTACCGAGGAACTCTTCGTGCCACTTTCTTAACACACATGTAGACTGCAGTCAGGGCAGAGGTGGCCTCGCTACATTTTACTTCCTCCATGAGCATGTTGACTAACACCATGTGACCGATGCTCCAGAGAATAAAGACAGCGCAGCCATGAAACTCTTAAGAGAACTACAGGTTTCTTTTCAACTAAGATTATTTTATTGCAGAGCTCGGGTGAAATCCTGACGTGTTCACATTTTGTATCATTCTGCTAGCATCAGTTTCCTTTTGATATTTCTTCACTTCCTGGCTTTCAGGCAGTGCGATGAACTTGGGACCTGTTCTGTATTGCCACGAGATGTTTTTAGTCCACATTGAGGCAGTTTAGCAGGTACAATTTGTCCCTCGTCCTCTGGTGTGAAATGTTGTCTGTATCCATGTCTTGGTCTATTGCAGTAGTTCTCAGCCCTGGTCCTTGAGGAACACCATCCTGCATGTTTTAGTTGTTCCCCTGCTGTGACACCTGCTTTGAATGACTGGGTGATTAACAGGCTTCTGCAGAACTTGAAGTAATTAATTCACTAAATCAGGTGTGTTGGAGCAGGGAAACGACAAAAACATGCAGGATAGTGTTCCTCAAGGACCAGGGATGGGAACCTCTGGTCTATTTTATGTTTTCTTTGTGTGTGTGAGACAAATAACTCAAGATGTAAAGTGTACTGAAGTAAAATGTATATATTTTTTGTACGCATTTTAGTAACTGCATAATAAATCTCTTATGAATTCTTGTACTGTGCAGTTTGTCTTTAAAGTAGAAATGTTGGACTTCAGGGAAAGCACATAGTTGTGGTGAAAATCTCCGTCTGTCTAAAGCCCATCACCATATTGGTGATAGCCAGAATTTCCATATCGGTCAGGTTCTAGTTTTCACATCATTACCAGCTTTCCAGCTTACCCTAACCAGTAAACCAAAACCTGTAGAAACGTGTACACCAGCCATGAAGGTGTCATGGGGCTGCATCTACATGTGTGTTTTTCACGACACGCATACAGTTCCTTGGTCATTTCATTGCCGATTCACCTGAAGTTTAACATGGAAAACGGCGCATGCCATGTTTTTGTGCTTACACACTTTGTACAAGAAGGTCATTAGTTATTCTATTAATGTTTTGTTGATGTACTTCCTGCTTGGGTTGGGAAGAAATGCAGCCTTGTGTTGATATGAAACTGCATTTTCCCTTGTTGTGCGGCAGAATGTACATTTCTTCTTCAGCTTCCTGTAAAGGAGCCCACAGTTTTTATTACAAACACTGCATGACACGGAGCAGTGCTTTCCATGTTATGATGACAGCAATGAAACGTCCCCCTCAGCTGCCCCACAGTGTTGGTGTGTCATGTTCCTACCAGCAGACATTAAAGCAAATATAAATATTTTGACTAAAATTGTTTACGACAACTAGAGATTAGGTGTAGAGCAGCGATCCACCCCATAAAAGGCCACACATTTGAGAGCTTATTTCTGCTTATTGATTAATTATAAAACACTTTCATGTAAAAAGAGTACAGTCCTAAAAATACAAAAAATGTTCTCTAATGAATTGTTCAAGTTGTAAGAAAAACCTACTCCATTTACATCAGCAAGACCAATAGTATTTTGATGGAAGACTGATTTTGAACAACTTTTCTGTAGTTTACTTTTACGTCATTTCAGTCTTTTCATTTAGGTTGCCAGATATATTTTAAAAGATTATAACATGGGTAGTCCTTTGCACAGTACAAAATACCTTAAAATACACACACACGCACACACAGTGAAGCGTGGTGGCGGCATCATCATGCAGGGACTGAGTTAAAGGAAAAATGGATGGGACAAAATACAAAAACCTGTTGAAGTCTTCAGAGATCTGAGTCCAGCAGAAAAAGACCTCAAACACAATGCTGAGAAACACTCGGGGGTGAAGAAGAACCAGGTCCTGGAATGGTCTGGTCCAGACCTCAGTCCTACAGAGAATCTCTGGTTGGATGTAAAGACTGTTGGACACGAGCAGCATCCCACCTGAAGGAGCCGCAGCAGCTCGATCATGAAATCAGACAAAAGGACCAAGCTCATATAAACAGACCCGGTGCTGTAACTGCTGCCAAACCTGGATCTACAAAATACCAACTTTTTATGAGTGGGAAAAGGTACGCACACTTGAGTATTTTATTTATGTTCTTGTTTTTCTTTATATTTGCATCTTCAAAGTGCTGGTTATTGTGATGAGTACAAACCCAACAAGATTTATAAAGTCTCCTGCTGTTTTGGGTCAAACTGAACTTTTTTCTTGGTTCTTTTAATCCAGAGGAAGCAGGAGGGTCAAACCCTCCAAGGGAACAAAATAGAGGGAACGACAAGTGACGAGGGGAATGAAAACTTTTGCAACCTGTAAATAAAGTCATGTTGGCCCCTCTGACACAAAAATATCAAACGTTTCTTTTTTCACCTCTGCTTTGTCAGAGAAATACCTTTTTAAACCCAATAAATGCTTCATGTTTTAATGTTTTTCTTGCAGATTTATAAAAACCGCAGTTTTTAAGCTTTTATTGATGCTTTCTCATATTAAAAATGAGGACAGGCGAAGTCTCAGGTTGTTGATAAATGGTTGGTGTATCAGCAGATATCAACGTTTGAAGTGAACCTTTAAACCACACAGGTCAGCTGCAGACGGTCTCATGTATGAAAATGTGCGCAGCTTTCATACTGAAAGTTGACATAAGGAAAAATAATTGAAGTGTGTGCATGTTTCTGCTCACCTTCCTGCATCTGAATGAAACTGAGCGCACGAGACACCTCCAGTCCTGACACGCCCCGTTTAATTATTTAAATAGATGCAAGTATGTCCAACATGTTGGATTCTTTTCTGCACCATCAAAAACAATGTCGAGGAAAAGGAGGAATTCAATGAAACTCAAGTCAGACGCACCTGAATTAGTTCAGTTGGGTGTGAGAACGTGTTTGACACACGTGTGATGAGGGTGATGGTGTGAGAAGGTTCGAAGCCTTTGTGCAGTTAAATAGTTCTGGTCTTGAGTTGATCCCAGTTCAGTGAAAATAAAAGTCCAGTCTTGTGTATCTGAAATGTCTAGATTCAAAACTATCATTTAGCAGTTGTGTTTTCTAAGGTCTGACTGTGACAACTAACCATCTTGAACCAGGTTCCCAAAGTTTATGTAGATAATATATTTTTGATAAATGGGAACATAGCTCGAGAGAAATCATGGAAAATAAATGTTTTACCTTTTGGTCTAATGGTCAAACAAAATGACACCAAGAGAATGAACTTGTCATCTTTAAGTTTTATTTACCTAAAACAGTTCATGTGATACATCGTACAATTACCTGAAAATACAGTACAGCAGTTTAGCAAATAAAAATGCCAGTGGAGGAACTGCCTGCCTGTCGGTCGTATATTAAACATCACTGCACGTCCACCTTCCAATGTGCCGCAACATCTCTGAACATGTTGCACGTTTCAGTGCAAAGAAAGAGAAATGCTAAGGTTTGGTTTAAATATCCCATAAAGTCTTTCCTTAGGAAAATCTGTTACTTTTTTAAAGCTTATGAACATTTGTACCGTGACACGAATGTATTTACCAACACTAGACGCTAAGAGAAGTCTGATAAAAGAGGAGGATGAGCGGCCATGCAGCATGAGCTCGTCTCCCTGGTGCATGGTTGAGCCTACAAACATGGCGTTCCATCTGAGGCTCTTCCTGCAGGAAGACGGACGAGACTTGGAGCTGGACTGGTTTGGTTCCACGGGACATTCCTTTATGACCACCCTACAGTGAAGGTGAACCTGCTGAGCCCATGTATCACATCGTAGCATGCAGCCTGCTCAAAACACACATGCACACCACAAAACAAAACCCAAAGCTTCTGCAAGAAATGTAGAGGGGGGGGGGCAGCTTTACTTGGCCGTTGCTGGAACAAAATAAATAAATAAAAAAAAGAGAGAGGAAGAAACAAATCAGTGCACATCAGAATCCACAGAATGAAGAAAAGACAGAAAACTGAAGTTCTACTTGTTTACAATCAAACTACGCAGCACCAGAGTCTCTGAGCCTGTCGGGGTAAAACTGGCACCTAAATGCATATTTTATTTATTTTTTACCAATATTCTCTTTTGTATTATGAAGTTTGTTAAGCTCTGGTATAAAAGGGCAGCCACACAGAGATGAGATCACTGTGCATGCAGATTAAAGTCTGCTCACTCTGCAGGACAACAGGAGGGATGGAAATGGAAACAAGTTAGCTCTTAAATAAAAGTCCAAGCACTTGGTTTGGTTGAAGCAGGCATGCAGAAAGGCAGTAAAACAAATGGAGTGTTTGGAAATCAACAACAAAAAAATATACATACTCTATTCTGTGTGCTTTGTACACATATACAAACCGGACAATCAGCTGTGCTTATCTTTACGAGTCCCTTTTTAACTTCCTGCTGTGCTCAGCTGATCAGACAGCTTCTTGGTGCCTTTCTTTTTTTACATCTTCAAGTACAGTATATGCACAAAACAAAAGTGACTATTTAGAACCAAAAGGCTGCTTGTCGAGGAAGAGCAAACTTAAAATCGAGACAAACTGTTTTCTTCAAGTTCATTTAACAGGTCGTGTTCAGGATGGAGCTGAGCCCAACACGAGCTCGTCTTCACGGACCAGGAAACACTTTTCTATAAAAATGAGAGAAACTTCAAAGTGTGAGAGCTTGGTGTGTTCAGCAGAATAAAGTGGTCCTTACCTCAACACTCCTACAGGTGAAGTGGTGTTCAGATACATGTATTCAGAAGAGCAGCACTGAGGTAGCTGTGCTCTGCCCAACGCAGAAGAGAACGACGCCGTTTAACAGAAACCGTTTTACACTGGAGCAACCAAGACTTTTGTTTACAGGCGCACCTCAAATTAGAATATTGAGAAAAAGCTTTTTTTTGTCAGTCATTTCATAAAGTAAAACTCATTTTATAGATTCATTACAGAGTGAAATATTTGCAGCCTTTATTTCTTGTAATTTTCATAATTTATGGCTTAAAAATAATGAAAACCAAAATTCAGTGTCTCAGAAAATGAGAATATTGTGAAGAGGTTCAGTGTTGTAAACTCCTGGAGTCTCACTCTGATCATCTGATGTCTCATTCCTCAAGTCCAGCCACTCCTGAACCAGAGACAACATCAGAAACGTCTTACCTGCTGAGGACAACAAGAACTGGACTGTCTCTCTGTGTCCAATGTCCTCTTTTCAGATTAAAGCAAATGTTCATGTCATTTATAAATCAAGGTCCCAGAGTCTGGAGGAAGAGGAGAGAGGTCCAGAATCCATGTTGCTGAAGTCCAGAGAGAAGTTTCCACAGTCACGGATGGTTTGGGTCCATGTCCTCTGCTGGTGCACTGTGTTCTCTGAAGTCCACAGTCCACGCAGCATCTAGCAGGACATTTTAGAGACTTCTTGCTTCGTGCTGCTGACGATCTTAATGGAGATGCTGGTTTCATCTTCCAGCAGAAGGGTGCTCCAGTTTCCTCCCACAGACCAACAACATGCATGTTAGGCTGATTGGTAACTCTAAATTGTCCCTAGGTGTGAGTGAGAGAGTGAATGGCTGTTTGTCTCTATGTGTCCCTGTGATGGACTGGAGACCAGTCCAGGGTGTCCCACACCTCTTGCACAGTGACTGCTGGACATGGGCACCAGTGACCCCCGTGACCCGAAAAGGAAGAAGCGGGTAAAGATGATGGATGAATGGATGGATGGATGGATGGATGGACTCGGCTCCTGTCCGCACTGACAAAGGTACCAACATCTGGCTGTGGAAGATTCTCATTTCCTGACACACTGAATGTTGGTTTTCATTATTTGTAAGAAATAATCATGAAAATAACAAGAAAGGCTTGAAATATTTCACTTTATGAAACTAAGCCATGCAATACGAGTTTCAATTTCTGAAATTATTGGCAAAAATAAATAAATAAATAAATTGAACTTTTACACGAGGCTCAAATTTTCCGAGCAGCCCCTCTAGTTTTGTTCTCTTCATTCGTCACGGTCTCGTCCTGCTTGAACATAAAGGTTTCCTCCTCGTGTCCCCCGTTGCCCCAAATTACAAAATGTTTATACAAAATTGTTTACATTCTCTGTACGGCCGATGTTTAGGTGATAAAAGAACATTTGAATGTCTTAACCAGTCAAAATTAAACTCTGGATCACAGCCCACCCCCACCTGAAACCATGTTTCACTGAAATGTAAACACAGCAGGCAGGTGAGGTCAGAACAGGTGAGTGTTTACAGTAAGGTGTTAGATGTGTGTGTTAATGTCCACGTCACACTGGTGTGAGGGGAGGGGAGTGTTCTGGAGTCAGTCAGGGCCACAAGATGGCAGACACGTTAGTGTCGGTGCTGTAGATCCACAGCAGCAGGGGCAGGGAGAGGGCCACAAAGGGCCAGGAGATGCCCTGGGCACATGCAGACAGGTAGCAGCCTTTGTGGGCCGGCTCCTCCCGCTGTTTACCGAGGTCCAAGTAGTTCCTGGCTGCGAACTTCAGCAGCTCGTCCAGCAGGATGACTGGCAGCGAGATCTTCAGCACCATCATCCACTGGGTCACATCCAGGGGGGTGATCTGGAAGATGACCTGGGGAAGAGAAAATTACTTTTAACAACTAAAAAGGTCTGCAAGAACTACTACTGTAATTTTCGTTGTATAAATCACAGTTTTTTGCATAAATTAGCATGTCTGCAACTTATACAGCGAAGCAACACGTTTGTTTTTATTCCCATAATTATAAACTAATTTTGGGCTGAGAACGGACGATTTCATTCATTCTGACATGGAAAATACGGAACACTACCATTTTCAGCCACTAGAGGGCCCTCGACTAATATGGCAAGCCAAGTGTCTCATTAAAATGTAAAAGTGGCTATTAATGAGACACTTGACTTGCCATAGCAGCCACCTTCGTCTCGCTCTGGAACTCCTGGAGCAAACATCACATCAGCTGCATTTCACTGCACCATCCAGGAGAAATGCAGCTGATTTGACCATTAAAGTGTATTTGTTAAGGAAAAGTTAAACCGAGACACGTTTACTATAAAGTCGAGCAAAAAAATAGTTGTTTTTAGGTGGTTATCTTGTTAAATTTGGAAGAAATGCACAGCGAGTCATCCCTCTGTGGACTCTTGCTTCCGCAAATCGGCTTTTGAAATGCAGCTGATTTGAAAGTCAAAGTGCATTTATTAAGTAAAAGTTAGACTGAGACACACCTTTACTATAATTTTGAGCAAACAAATAATTGTTTTTAAGTGTTAATCTTTTTAAATTCTTGTTAAAGACCTCCCGTGCACGCTCCCACGGCCACCATTTGGCAGCCAATCAATTTTTGGCACAACACCGGCCCACATTTCCAGGTTGTCAGTGGTGACACGTAACAAACACGACGCATCAGCAGTGACACATAATAGATGCATCGTATACGGCGAAGTGACGTATTTATGGATTTTTCCACTTTATTAGACAAATATGGACTGATGCGATTTATACGGCGGTGCGACGTGCACAGCGGCAAGTACAGTACGAACTCAAAACTCAACTCTGGTACATTTTTCTGGTGACCTACTGTGGAAAGAGAACAAAACTGAACTTTGTAACAATCTGAACTAAGAAAAATGGCAACATTTTGATAAACTTAGTCATAATCTACTGTTAAGGAATTGTTTAAAAAAAGCAATAAAAAAAGCAATAAAATAAAATAAAGTTAAAGTTGCTTTCATTATGATCCCCATGGTAACAACATTCTTCGGTCTGTCACTCCCTGACAACAAACATAGAAGAGACAGAAACAAAAAATGAAAGTTAAGCCTCAAACAAATAAATCACTGCGTCAAAACTACAAGCCAGACCTTACAGATGTTAAACTGTGAGGGGCAGAAGACTGATGTGGTCTTATGTTCCTACAGTGTTTTGTGTAGGAGATAGAAGTTCAAAACACCAGATGTTGAGCTGAAATATAACTGAAGCTTGAGTGCTCTCTCTGCATTATGAGCAGAATTGAGAAAACTTTCGGTCTTGCTCCTTCTTTCTTCTGTTCCCTCTTCAGGGTCTCTGCAGCGAGTCTTTTCCCTCCATCTCTGTCCTCACTCCATCTACCTCCATGTCCTCTCTAACTGCATCCATATATCTGCTCTTTGTCTTTTTCCTGGCAGCTACATTTATCCTTCTACCAGTATACCCACTGTCCCTCCTCTGGACATGTCCAAACCACTGTCCCTCCTCTGGACATGTCCAAACCATCTCAATCTGGCCTCCCTAACTTTATCTCCCAGTTGTTTCAACCTGTGCTGTACCTCTGATGATCTCATTCCTAATCTTCTCCATCCTTGTCTCTCCTAAGGAGAACTTCAACATCTTCATTTCTGACACTTCCAGTTCTGTCTCCTGTCTTTTTGTCCATGTCTCTGTCTCCAGACCATACAACATAGCTGGTCTCACCACTGTCTTTAAACTTTTTCTTTGACCTTTGCTGACACCCTTTTGTCACAAATCACTCCTGAAACTTTTCTCCACCCACTTCATCCTGCCTGGACTCTCTTCTTCACCTCTTTACCACACTCCTCATTTCCCTGACAGTGGACCCCGAGTACTTGAAGTCCTGCACCTTTGTAACCTCTGCTCCTTGTAGCCTCAGTGTTCCACCTCCTCCCTCTCATTCACACACATGTACTCTGTCTTACTACGACTGACTTTCATTCCTCTTCTTTCAAGTGCATACCTCCACCTCTCTAAGTTCTCTTCCACCTGTTCCCTGTTCTCACCACAGATCACACTGTCATCTGCAAACATCATAGTCCACGAGGATTCCTGCCTGACCTCACCTGTTAGTCGGTCCATCACCAGAGCAAACAAGAAGGGGCTTAGAGCTGATCCTTGATGCACTCCCACCTCCACCTTGAAGCTATCTGTCACTCCTACAGCACATCTCACCACTGTCCTGCTGTCCTCATACATGTCCTGTACCAGTCTAATGTGTCCTGCTGTCCTCATACTTTTTATTCCACTGATCTCCACTGTTTTTGTACAGTTTTCAGGTCTCTCTTGTAAATGAGTCCCCAAGGCTCATTGGGATTAACCTATAAATAAAAGTTGAATGAAAAGTTTTTGTGCGTTTTCTGTCGATGTTATGCAGCATAATGTTACTAAAAGTTGCAGTACACTGTCTTCAGTGGAGACACACGTTTTGGAGTTTAACTTTTTTAAGCTGTATAACAAGACAGGACAAGCTTTTTTTTTTTTAAACAAAACATGTATTAGCACCCTGAATAAGTTTGACACTTACATTTTTAAATAAATGCACATAAATCAGAATGAATTTATTTCTAAAGCTATTAATTTGTGTTAATAAAATGTTTACTTTAAAACAAGGTCATTTTCACCGTTTCTACTTTTATTCTGTTTACTAGTCAGACATAAATGTCCATATTTCTTTCTCTATTTTGTTGAGTTTGTTTGTCTTTCTGTGACCTACACCATTAAGGCACATAACATATCTAACTACAGGAGTGATTAAACTAAATATATTAATGCTAATTACCGTATAGTTTCCCATCATCATCTCACCATGGCACAAATCAGTTCAACTAGGAAACTGTAATATATGCATTTGACCATTAGAGGGCGCACACGAGGACAAACTCCACATGTTTGGTTATAGCTTTCAGAGTCAGAGTCAGAGTTTCTTTATTTGTCATTCGCATCACATGTGGTACATGTAGTGGAATGAAACTGTGTACACAGGGTCCCAGTTTGACCGTCTTGTCAATTTATTCCTGGATAAATAATTTTGCAGAACTCACAGGCAGTGGCTCCACGTAGAGGATGAGGAAGTGGAGAGACATGGATAGACAGATGGCTCCCAGCAGCCAGATGTTCTCCCAGGGAGGCATCCGCAGCAAGGACTGGTTCTCTGACAGACTGAACAGTGAGAGAGGACAAATGTTGATTTAGTGTCCCAGTCTGTACGCTTCCCATCTGTAGATATGTCGTCAGTGACGACCTCCTCCTAGTCACCTGTTCAGAGCGTTGCACATCTCGATTGTGACGAGCACGGACAGCGCCATGGTCATTGGGTAGGGCGACTCAAACACCTGACAGTCCAAGCCGTCAAATTCTGGGTTGTCTGGGCCACACTGGAGGAAGTGGCTCTGGGGAGGAGGACAGAGGAGTGAGAGGAAAGAAAAACGCCACAAGGAGCAGAAGGATGCTCTCTCAGACAAACCTACCAGCTGGTACAGAGTGAGCTGTGGTCCATCCTCTGAGATGGTAAACCACCAGGCCGCAGCTCCCACAGTGGCAGCCCCCACATAACCTGGGAGGAGAACAAACACGTATGATCAAATACCGCTTATGGTTTGTACAAAAATAAACAAATCTAGACAGTTAACCCCTCATTTCTTGTTAGTTATCAACTAACCTCCAATGGCCAAGTATCTGAAGAAAAGCCAACCAGAGATCAGAGGCTCTTTAGCGTTGCGGGGGGGCTTCTCCATGATGTCCAGGTCAGGGGGGTTGAAGCCGAGGGCGGTGGCAGGGAGCCCGTCCGTCACCAGATTGACCCAGAGCAGCTGGACTGGGATCAGTGCCTCAGGGAAGCCCAAAGCTGCTGTAAGGAAGATGCTGCCAGGGACAGAAGAAACAGACACATTATACACCGCCAACAAACAACAGCAACGTTAAGACCTTATATAACATTTAACCTCCATTTGAGACCTTGGTTTGATGCTGGGGTGATGAATAGTGTACACGGCACTCCGTCTAGTGATGATGTATTTGTGTATGGTGTTCCGTTAAATCATCTTGAGTGAATCAGAAGTTATGGGCCGGACAAGCTTACAGATGTACGGACAGTACCAGGGGTTGTCAACCTTTATGATAAAAGAACATTTCTGCCCCATAAAAAATAAAATAAAAAATGTCCGGAGCCACAAAACTTGCCACAACTGTGATTATCAACTGGTGGTCCATGGGCCTCTTCAAGTGTGTTGGTTGGTTTTTGTTTTTGGCCAGTGAGGGTGACATTATAAAACAAACTATATCAGTTATTTTTCAACATTTTCTGATATTTTTACATTTTAGGACAAAAAGAAAAAAAAATCATTCATGTAAAGAAAGAAAATAATATAGTTTATACCATTTTTAATAAGAACTCAAACTGCAGTATGCAGGTTTTTGTGAGTCCTCCTTTTATTTGTGGAAACATTAATTAATGATCAAACTTGATGTAATAAAGCATAAATGTGAAGTGTATAAAAATTAGGCCATTTAATTGGATAAGTAACTGTGACTTGTTGAATTCCTAAATTAAAAACAAAAACTACAATTTGTTTTGACTGTATGTTTTATTTTTCTAATTCTTGTTATCACATGGAATCACCATATTTTTTTATGCAACTTGTCCTAAAACTATTCAACATCATTTCTGGTGGATTTGAGAGAAATATTCCAGTTGTAAGACTGGAAGTCGTAAACAGCATGTTGCGCTCCTTGTATCAGTTATAGAAATCTAACATTTGCAGGAAATTTACAGAAAAACTGCTAAAACTAAATCAATAAAGCTACAGTTTATGGTAGTTTTGGTGAAACCTTCAAAGAGTCTCAGCCGTGGGACCAAAGAGCCCAAGAGCCACAGGTAGCAGACCCTGGACTATCTGCCTTTGATGGGCATATAAAACTTTAGAAACTGATGACACTGGAGCAATAGAAAAACAAATCTTATTACTTTTAAACTGTACTGACGTATTATTTTTTATATAAATATAAACTAATCTCTCAGAATAGGCCCAACATAATACCCAGACTAAAGCACCAGGAACACTGAAGGTCATTTGCTCCAGAGGACACTCACCACACCACCTCGCCCACGTTGGAGGAGATGAGGTATCTTATGAACTGCTTCATATTGTTGTAAATAGCTCGGCCTTCTTCCACCGCAGCCACTATGGACGAAAAGTTGTCATCGGCCAGGACCATCTCTGAGGCCGACTTGGCCACAGCTGTGCCGGAGCCCATAGCGATGCCAATCTCTGCCTTCTTTAATGCAGGGGCATCATTCACTCCGTCCCCCGTCTGTAAATAAACACGAGTTACACAAGGCAGCCATTTTAGCTCTCCCAAGAAACGGATTTAACATGTTCACGTCCATTTAAACTAAAATGACTGATGCTGAGACAGAGCCTCAGACGTCGTACCATGGCAGTAATTTCATCAAATCTTTGCAAAAACTCAACAATCTTGGACTTATGCGAAGGCTCGACGCGGGCAAAACAACGGGCTTGGGTCACGGCCTCCCGCTGGGCGTAGGCTGACAGCTCGTCAAACTCCCGTCCAGTGAAGGCCATGCGCTCAACGTCGTCGTCCTCAGTCAAGATGCCAATGCGGCGGCAAATAGCCACAGCTGTGCCCTTGTTGTCGCCTGTGATCATGATGACACGAATGCCAGCCTGGCGGCACAGCTTGATGGAGGCAGCCACCTCCTGTCTGGGTGGGTCCAACATGCCAACGCAGCCGACGAATGTGAGGTCAGACTGAAGACATACAGACAGAGATGTAAACCAGTGATCCAGAAGTAAAATCAAAATGCAGCTGGTGAACTGAAGCAGTGACCATTTACCTCGTACTCTGTGAATTTGGCCGTTTCAGACAGAATCATGTCGTCCATTTTAGGGGGGTTGTCTCGTGTGGCCAGAGCCAAGCACCTCAGGGTGTCACGTCCTGTACCGTACTCACGAATAACAGACATGATCTTTTCTTTGATGCCTTGGCTGAGAGGAACTTTGCTGTTGCCCACTCTGACATGAGTGCATCTCTCTATCACTCCTTCTGGGGCTCCCTGTGAGGTGGAACAGATTTACACAACGTCAAACAGAAACCTACAGACTCTCTGTACATGTTTCTTTCAGCATACCTTTACAAACATTTTGCCCATGGAGGAACGGGATTTGTTTGGGGTGCAGTAGACAGACATGGACTTCCTGTCTCTGGAGAACTCAAGGGTGCACTCCTTCTTCATCAGCTGTTTGATCACCTGAAGCAACGAGAGCACAGTCAGAGGAAAAACCTGCTGAGTGGGAGCACCGGGGAGGTGTGGAGGCAGCTGTCACTCACCGAGTTGCAAGCGTTGGCTCTGTCAATCTTGGACAGACTGTGGACGTCATTGTCAAAGACATTCATCTTCTCCACTAGGCAGGTCAGCGCCGTCTCTGTGGCCTCACCGACCTTCTCATACACACCCTTCACCTGGAACATCAAAACCATCAATGCTCATTTCTTCTCTCAATAAAAACTAACACGTCTTAGAATATGTTTTAGTCAGTGACAGCTGGCCAATAGAGGGCGCAAGGGCGTCGCCCCACCACTCACCACATTACCTTGAATAAGCCATTAAACATTTAAATAAAAATGAAATAATAAAATAACAATATTTTGAAATATATGTATATATATTTTTTTGTTGTGCAAGATAAATATTTTATAGTTAGAGTAAAATTGTTTCGTTCATTGACGTTGTCTGATTGGTGATGCATTTCCGCTCCTTTTCAATACAAGAGCTAGGACCATTCTGGGGCGCACTCTCCTGCGCCCAGAGCTGAATGCAGCTTGAGACGATTGGATAGAGATGCGAAATGGAGCAAAAGAAATTAAATAATTCAGTGAAGTCACTTAAAACAATACCTTTTGAGAGAAGAACATGTCAGGAGAAGCTAGAGGTGAAAGAGCTCGGACCTGATCAGCCGAACATCACAATTAATCAGCAGTCCAAAGACAGAGGGAGACAGTACACTCGGTCTTTTTCCAGGACCTGGTTTAGCAACAAGGCTTGGCTAACTGCATGTAGCAAGGCTAATGCTTTGTTCTGCTTTCCCTGCCTCCTTTTTCAAACATCAGGATCTGACCCAGCATGGATTAAGACGGGTATGACTGATTTAAAGCATTTTTTAGAAAAGGCAAAGCAGCATGAACAATCTGGGATCCACATGGAAAATGCATTGCGACTAGCCATGTTTGGGAAAATAAACACTTCATCTGAACTTGATGAAGGCAACAGGGTAGGATACACTAGTGTGATATCTTAGTATATGTTTTGGTACATGTCTATTTTGGAGTTATAGCCCTCCCTGGAAAAAACTCCACCAGCCACCACTGGTTTTAGTACACTCATATTTGCAGCGTGTGTGCATTTGTTGGACACTTGAAGTATGGTACAGACCTCATTGAAGTCCAGAGAGGAATCATTACACAAGGCACAAATGGTGGCCAGTTCAACCAAAGCATCATACTGGGAGCACTTCACTGGTTTGCCATCTTGGTACCTGTAAGAAGGTGCCATGTACAGTTAATATAAACAGAAGAGCCACTATTTACCTCTGCTAAACTGAATGTCTCTCTGTGGTTCAACTTTCAGCTGCTCATTAAGAGAAGCTGGAAGAGTACTCACACTTCTCCCTCGGGTGCGTAGGTAGATCCTGTGATGGTGAATTCTGACAGAGAGCAGCTGTCGCCTTCGGCTTTGTTGAGAACGAACATCTGAAAATCAAAGGAGTTTGATCTTTATGTTCCAAAAACAGACATCGGTACATTCTGTCAGAGAGTGGCAGATGGCAACCACAGAAAGCACAAGAGAAACCGAGAAGCTTCTTGTGGAGAGTTTTATCCTGCCGTGTTACAAAGTGTGCCTGCTGCCTAATGGACGTACGGGGTGTTTAGGTTTTTTATAAATAAACACGAGAGACTGCCAGGAGGTCTGGGTGAAGACAGGATCCATGTCCACAAGAATGAAGTCACAGTACCAGGTCTGATCTGTCGGGAAGCTTTGATTGTTGCACCCACACAGTGTGAATAAACACAAGACACCAGCAGGGATCGAACATGATCAGAAAACGGTTGGTGACAATTAGTCACGTCCTCAGAGCGCTGTCTCACTCTGATAAATCTCAACCTCGTGAACATTTCATCCCATTAGATTCGATGTAGTCGAGCAGCTATCAGAACTAAAACTGTCTAACACAAAGTTTGACTCTTCTCACATGGTTATAGCACTGTGTTTAAAACAGACACACAACTTATAAATTAATACAACTGTTTATTCTTACAAGTCAGGAATGTGATTTTGATTAGCACACCTCCTTTAGACCTTCAGTTTGCCTGCCCTGGTAGCAGATGTTTTCTCTTTTCAGTAGTTTAACACATCTGTACCACAGTAACTGCAGACTCAACAGTCTTTAAGTATTACAAGCAGCACGCAGCCGATAGATATCTGAACAGTTTGATTCAAAAAGCTGAAAATAATGTTTCTAATAAATGTTTTTATGAGAGTTGCCGAGCAGCTAAAAAGTTTTACAGAGACACAAAGATAAAAACGAAGCACAGGGTGGGTGGCTGGTTTGCAGCTTGGTGACGCAAGACCAGTTATGCAACAGAAGCATTGCGAGCCAGAGTAGATAAGAGGAGCAGCAGCACCTGATCCTCCTGTTCAAAACCCTGGAAACTGCTCCTACATCTGAGTCTACTCAAACATCAGGCACATAAAGATGATAAAGCACAGACAGCAAACATCAGTTTTGTGTGGTGACTCACTCTGCAGACAGACATCTGGTTGGTGGTCAGGGTGCCCGTTTTGTCGGAGCAGATGACGGAGGTGCAGCCCAGGGTCTCCACAGAGGGCAAGCTACGGACAATAGCGTTCTTCTTGGCCATGCGGCGAGTTCCCAGTGCCAGACAGGTCGTGATCACAGCAGGAAGTCCTTCGGGGATGGCAGCTACAGCCAGGGCCACGGCAATCTTAAAGTAGTAAACAGCTCCACGGATCCAGGAACCGCCGTGAACGGGGTCGTTGAAGTGTCCGATGTTTATGATCCACACAGCGACGCAGATGAGGGAAATAACCTTGGACAGCTGCTCACCAAACTCATCCAGCTTCTGCTGCAGAGGCGTCTTCTCCTGCTCCGTGGCTGCCATCTCGTCACGGATCTTACCGATCTCCGTGTTAACGCCAGTAGAGACGACGACGCCGACAGCCTTTCCAGCTGCGATGTTGGTGCCCTGAAACACAAACATGGAGGTTCACACGCATCCGAGCACAAATTACAAATAAATACAAGCTGTACACTGATGGCCCCCGCTGTTGAGGGATTTGAATAGTGAATGTTTGTAGTTGGTGGCTCAGTTGGTAGAGCTGCTGCCTCCCAGTGAGAAGGTCAGTTCAAATCCCGTTCCAGGTGCCTTTCTGGGTGGAGTTTGCATGTTCTCTCTGTGCATGTGTGGGTTTTCTCCAGGTACTCCGGTTTCCTCCCACAGAACAAAAACATGCATGTTAGACTGATTGGTAGTTTGTCTCTGTGATGGACTGGAGACCTGTCCAGGGTGTCCCCCACCTCTCACACAGTGACTGCTGGATATGGACACCAGTGACCCCCGTGACCCGAAAAGGAAAAAGCGGGTAAAAATAATGGATGGATGTTGCGAACTGGAAATGAACGGGGAATTTGTGGAAACCTGAACATTTTTGGTGCAAGATGCTCAAGTGAGTAGGAGTTACAGTGTGTAGAGGAATAGATGTAGGTTTATGGGTTTTTCTCCTTGGCTGCGGCAGCACAGAGTGATGGGTCCTGGCGAGTGGAGAAAGTAATTTTATCCACCACAATGCACACTGGCAGAGACAGGGGGTGGACAATGGTGGCCAAGGCCACCAAAGATTAATCTTTGGCCACCACAATCATTTGAGGAAACTATACTTTTCAGCAATATATAAAAACTAGAAATTATAGTTTCCTCAAAAACATAAAAGGAGTGGTCGGGCACATTTCTTATTTTTCAAGTTATCACGCTCACATCTATGAACGGACGGACGGAGGGTATTTCCAACTCCCCGTCTTCACTCCGCGATGGGACAAAAAAAAATAGTATGTAGGAAATGTGTGCATATTTTCTCTTACAGAAAAGAGCATGTTCTTCTTGTCTTGGTTGACTGCTCGAGGGTCGGGGACAGGGTCGGTGTGTTTGATGACAGAGACAGATTCACCTGTGAGGACAACACAGAACACCAGTTAAACCAGCTTGATGGTTCGAGTTTGACACAAGTTTATTCTACCAAGACAATTTTTAAATGTTATAATACAATTGACCTTTTTGCATCCAGGTCAAACTATCTTGTTATTTGTGAAACTGATATTTTATGTCTTTATATTAGGAGAAAACATTGATTCATATTTTATTTTAAAATTATTAGGGTGTAAAGTTTAAATTAATGCTTGCACCCCCTTACAAGGTAGTGAACGGCCAAATACATCTTAGATTTATCATTTGCATTTCTCAAAAACAAACTTTGATCCTGTGAACAACTGTCTAAATTATGGGCCTTTTGGGCTGTCATGCTCATTTATCTAAGCAACAAGCACTAAATAAAGCCTTATAACGTAGAAACATAAATACTTAAACACAAGTGTGCTGTCAGGATGTGTGTGTGTGAAAAGGACGAGTCTCACCTGTCAGAATGGACTGGTCGACTCTCAGAGTTGTTGATTTGATTGAACAGATGCGAATGTCAGCAGGCACTTTGTCTCCAACTAGAACCAAACACACCCACAGTTAGAGACGACACCAGGAGCATGAAGACACACACCTGCTCTGTGTGTGTGTGTGTGTGTGTGTGTGTGTGTGTGTGTGTGTGTGTGT